TACCATCCATGTGTCTTTTGTTGCTAAAGCGTATCAAATATTCTATTCCACTTTTATTAATTTTTGAAAAACTATTATTGAAAAATTGAGAGTTCATAATATATTCTGGATATGAGTGCTTTGTCAGATATGTGTTTGTGGTCTAGTCGGGGACATAAGATTCTGTTCGGATGTTCTTTTCCCTGTTGAAACCAGGCCTACGCTGGTTTGCCTATGTGAGCTTTTCAATGTCTTGGCATTATTCAAAAACCAAACTCACTGCCCTCGAGTTGATTCCAACTCAAAGCAATCCTAGGTAGTGTTAGCTTTCCAACTTTACTTATTTATTTCAAAAGCTATTTGAGGCTCTTTTATTATATATGGTAGCTTTTTAGTATCTATCATTATAGGTATATTTATATATTTAACTTCTTATTGTGAATTAAATGAAAGTTTACAGAGCAGATCATAGCCATAAATTTAATCATTCAAACACATTCTGAATCAACTCATCCATTCAAAGTCATTCCAATGCACCATTGTGTATTCCATTTCCACTCCATGTTCCATTGCTCCTTCTTCCTTAACTCTCTGAACTGTGTCTTTGGGTGAATGCTGCCCTTTTGATCCTAAACGGTTGATTATTCCAATGCAGAGCTATGTTTAGTTCTAGAGCTAAGGGGTCATATTGTCTCTATCTGACCAGTAAGCCTTATCTCTTTTATGTGAGTATCCACATTTTTTAAAATTCATTTTATTAGGGGCTCATACAACTCTTATCACAATCCATACATACATCAATTGTGTAAAGCATATTTGTACATTCATTACCTTAATCATTCTCAAAACAATTGCTCTCCACTTAAGCCCCTGGCATTAAATCCTCACTTTTCCCCTCCCTCCCCACTCCCCCATTTCTCATGAACTCTTGATAATTTATAAATTATTATTTTGTCATATCTTTCACTGTCTGACATCTCCCTTCACCCACATTTCTGTTGTCCGTCCCCCAGGGAGGAGGTTATATGTAGATCATTGTAATCCATTCCCCCTTTCCACCCCACCCTCCCTATACCCTCCTGGTATCGCCACTCTCACCGCTGGTCCTGAAGGGATCATCCACCCTGGATTCCCCATGTTTCCAATTTTTATCTGTACCAGTGTACATCCTCTGGTCTAGCCAGATTTGTAAGGTAGAATTGGGATTATGATAGTGGGGAAGAGGGGTGGAGGAAGTATTTAGGAACAAGGGGAAAGTTGTATGTTTCATCGTTG